GAGAGAAAGGGAGTAGGGGGAGAGAGAGAGAGAAACAATGTTAAGAGGGAAACATCAGTTGTTTGCCTCCTGCACGGCCCCTAACGGGGATTGAGCTACAGTCTGGGCATGTGATTCGAACCAACACTGGGAACCCAACTGAGCCACACGGGCTAGGCTGGGTGAGGTACTGAAATTTAAATTCACCTGAAGGTTAAATAGTAAAGACTGGGTGAGGTGAAGTATGTAAAGTAACTACCACGTGACAAGTAAACAGTAAGCACTCAAAAATGTTAACTCTCGGTGATACTGGGTTTTCTGTGTCCTCTTGGGTAGGCCCAAGTTGTTTAATCAACTGATTAATCCGGGTGTTGCTCTGGGGTATTTTGAAGTTCGGTCCAAATCCTATAGTCTACTTAATGTGGGTGGGTCTGATCCAATTAGTTTGAGGTATTTAAGAACAGAATTGAGGCTGCTCTCCACAGAGCAGTTTCACCTGAGGACTCCTGCCCTCTCGTTCTAGCGTGCTCTTCCTGGCCCATCCTGCAGATTTGGGACTTGCTCTCCTACAAGCTCCTGCAATCAAGTAAGCCGATTTCTTAAAATATACCTCTTGCTGGCTTTTCTTATTCTGGGGGGACCCTGGCTGATAGACTCTGTCTCCTGCCAATTGTCCAAGCCTCAGAGTGTTTCATAGGTAGTAGGTGAAAAAGTTTGGTTATTCCCTCCCTCCAACCCCAACATCCCCACTTAGGATGAAAGTTTCTAGACATCACAGAAAGACCCATGGCATTCCCTCTGCTGGACTTATTTTACTGAAAATGTATTGGCTCCTTATAGCTGTGGGATATTCTATATATTAGTAAATGAACACTGGAGAATACGAAATAATGACTTCCTATTAACTTCTAAGTCTTAAATGAATTTTTCTCTTTTTTTTTAATTGTTAAAAAATTACAAGTTATACTTTTCGGAAGTATATGAAGTAAAAAATGAAAGTCTTTGTTTTTTCCTTCAGCTTCCTCCTCCTCTCCAGTTTTCTTTCTGGAGATAGCAATTGCTAGTAATGTGGATTTGATCTCTTTAGCCTTTTTGATAAGCATATATGTATATGAATGTTTGTGTTTAAAAAAGGTCTATAGACACAGGCATACATACACGTTAAAGCATAAGTGAGAAGCTATACAAAATCTTAAAGCAATTTTATTCTTTTAGCATATTTATCTTAGATATTTTTCTATATCTTTCTGTATACCCATATTTTCTGGTGTATAAGACGACCCCCTAATTTTACAGTTAAAACATAGGTTTAGGCCTATATTCGCTGTATAAGACTACCCCCCACTTCAAATAAAAGAAGTTGGGGTAGTCTTACTTTGCCGTCCAGATCAGCAGGTAATTTTTGTGCAATTTTGGTCTTTTGCCCCTGATTTTCCATTGACTTTTTTTCGTTTCAAAAGTCATCTTATACGGTACCTATATGTATGTATATATAACTTTACATCATTCCTCTTTAACTTTGCTGCATACTCTTACTGAGTATGACTGTTCTATGATGTGTTTACCATTCCACTATTGACTTTCAGCTTCTCCCTACTATAATGTTGGCATAAATATCATAGTTTATGTAACTTTGGGTGAATATAAAGGAGATATTTCTGCAGATTAGATTATAGGAGTTGACGGCCACAAAATTATATGGGATCACTGTTTAATCAATCTTAAAATACTTTTACTGAGTTCATAAAGGTCACAATTGGGCCATTTATCACTACACACAGGAATTGTTAGAAACATATTAACGTATTTACTTAACATTTTATCCAAGTCCCAGGTAAATTTCAACCTGTTCTAGCAATACGTTCTTGATTTATTCAACTCACAATAACTTACTCCTTCTAGAAATCCAAAACAATTAAGACATTTATCATTAAGTCATATAGCAAGTTTTTCACCTGCATTGTAATTGCATTAATGTTCAACTTCTAGACTTTATTACTCAGGAAGCTTTTCTCCCATCCAAGTACTAACCAGGCCCGACCCTGCTTAGCTTCCGAGATCAGACGAGTTCAGGGTGGTATGGCTCAGGAAGCTTTTCTATATTTTAGTTGCAATTCCAGTTTCGTCCCGGGGTGTGTGTCCATGCAGCCTCCACTTCTTCCGCCGCCATTGTTAATCTCACAACTTCAGACTTTAGAATGACTACACTATTGTAGTCAGGACTTTGGAAAGAATCCACCATCCAATCAATTAGTGATACAATTACCGTATTTTCTGGCGTATTAAGACTTTTGAGCCGGGACCGATTTGGCTCAATGGATAGAGCGTCGGCTTGGGGACTGAAGGGTCCCAGGTTCGATTCCGGTCCAGGGCATGTACCTTGGTTGCGGGCATATCCCCAGTAGGGGTGTGCAAGAGGCAGCTGATCGATGACTCTCTCTCATCAATGTTTCTAACTCTCTATCTCTCTCCCTTCCTCTCTGTATAAAATCAATAAAATATATTAAAAAAAAAAAAAAAAGACTTTTGAAACGGAAAAAAAGTCAACCAAAAAAAAAAAAGCAGGGGGGGGGCGGTGGTCTTATACGCCGAGAATATCCCGAAAAAACGTCTCGATTTGCCCTTAAATGAATTTTCCAACTCGATCCCGCACCAATCACTGCAAGGCTGCTGGGACCGCCTCTCTAACTCAGCCAATCCAAGCAGGTTTTTTATGCATGCAAATTATACATGTTCTGTACCCAAAGCTACACTGTGTCCTAGTAAAAAGCCCACTCAGATTGGCCAGAGTCCGAGAGGCGGTCTATTATAACCTTTGAACCTTTGCTTGTTGTGATTGGCTCACCGTGGTACATACAGTTGCAGCACAGGAACGTTCTGTGTAGCCAAAGCTGCTGTATCAGGACACATACAGTGAGTTAAAAGGTACCGTAATAGAACATCCCGTGTGTAGCTGAAGCTACAGTACTGTATAACCCCGGCCTAAAAGATTAGTTGGTGTACAACAAATGGCTGGTAGAAAAGAACCCATCATAGCTCCAGCAAGAAGAAGGACATTTGAAGCCAGTTTCAAACTGAAAGTTGTAAACTTTGCCAAGGAACACAATAACTGTGCTGCGGCAAGACAATATGGAGTAACAGAAAAGATAGTCCGAGACTAGAAAGCAAATGAAGATGCATTAAAGAGTATGCCAAGGAGTAAATGTGCATTAAGAAAAGGCACCCCCAGGCGGGTCGGGTGCGGCCAGGCCCGGAGCAGCAGCAGCCAAGTCCAGAGCAACTAGGTCGGGAGCGGCAGTGACCAGACCCGGAGCAGCTGGTTGTGGAATGAACCAGAGCAACAGAGGCCAGGCCCTGAGCAGCCAGGCCCAGAACAGCTCGCTCCTTGCCTGCCCCTGCCCCACGGCTGCTTCTCAGACATGGCTGGAAACTTTCGTGGGAACTTGAGGGTCTGCTGAATCAAGTGATGAAGGCTTAGATCTGGATGTGTTGAGTTAGTTTAGGACTGGGGTGTTGATCTGTGAGTGCCTTGGGTGGGGCCTGGATGAGGCTGGTTGACCTAGTGGGAAATGTCTTTTGTGTGAAGTGTATCATTGGGCATGTGGAGGTATTATTGATATGAGAAAATGCTAAGTAACTGATTTACTATCTGAAAAGGGATTTACTATTGGGGAAATTGAGGGAAGAAGAGACTGAATATAAACTGCACCTATGGATGAGGACAATGGGGGATGGGGGGGGGGACGGAGGGTGGGGTGGGAACCTGGTGGAGGGGGGAAGAAATGAGGAACCTTTGTAATAATATGAACAATAAAGATTGATTTAAAAAAAAGAAAAAAAGAAAAAAAAGAAAAGGCACCCCTTATTGGCCAGAACTCGAAAAGCATGTAGCAGACATGGTTCTTGAGCATCGTCAAAATGGTTATGTAGTGACACGAAACAAAATATATGTTTGCACTTCAGTGGGCCAAATCTAACCCAGATAACAGCAAAGGATTTAAGGCCATGGTATCCTGGAGTACTAGGTTCTTGGAAAGGCACAATCTGGTACTTAGGCAAAAGACCAAAATTGCACAAAAATTACCTGCAGATCTTGACGGCAAAGTACTACCACAAGAGGTCATTGATGAACTTATGATGTCAGAAGAAGAGCATGATGAGGATTTTGAAGGATTTTAAGCTCACAATGCCCCTGCCTAGAAAAACCTCTTATCATCCCAGTCAGTCACAAACAAGCGTTTTCTGCAAGTTCTTCATGTAATTTTCTTTCCAGATGATGCCATCATTGTTAATGTTATCTTTTGGATTTCTTGTTTCCCGGTCAAGTTCATGGCATTGCCATTTGTGAAGAGACCTTCCATTTATCTTATCAATGTATGGTATATTACGGTATGTTCAAAAAATGCCATTCATTGAAAATTTAATTAAAAAAAAGAACTGGTGTTGCCTCAGAAGTGGGGGGTAGTCTTATACAGCGAATATAGGCCTAAACCTATGTTTTTAACTAAAATTTGGGGGTCGTCTTATATGCCGGAAAATACAGTAGATAATTCCAATCAAGAAGTTAGCTGCAACTTGATAGGGGGTGCTGAATTTCATCCATCCAAATCTGGTAACTAAAATTTAGTTGTTGAGGAATTGGGAATCTCCTGTTGACAAATCAACCTTATCCAAGGGCCCATGAAATCCTGGTGGGTGGGTGTGCTGGTTGTAGCGTTGTGACAGTGGGTTTGATTCCCAGTGTGTGTGTGTGTTTTAAGTGAATGAATTTCATTTTATTTTCTAAAATATATTTTATTGATTTTTTTACAGAAAGGAAGGGAGAGGGAGAGGGATACTGGGGATGTGCCCTTGACCGGAATCAAACCTGGGACCTTTCAGTCCACAGGCCAACGCTCTATCCACTGAGCCAAACCGGTTTGGGATCCTAGTGTTTTGCTTTTTTAAAAAAAAAATAAAGTACAGGCCCACAGGCCAGTGCCTGAGACCTTGGCCGGGCTGACACCCTCTCAGGAGCCACCATGGTGGTGATCCCCCCCGGACTGAGCGAGGAGGAGGTGGCTCTGCAGAGGAAATTCAAGGAACTGAAGAGGAAGAAGAAGGCCTTGCTGGCCCTGAAGAAGCGGAGCAGCAGCAGCAGCAGCAGCAGCAGCAGCAGCGCAGCCAGCAAAGGGATACGCCCGCTGCCGGAGCCGCCCGCGGTGGACGCGGCCGCGGCCACAGAGCAGGCCAGGCAGCTGGTGAAGGCGGGGGTCGTGCGCGCCGTCAAGGCCGAAGAGGCCAGGACCTCGGGCTTCAAGCGTCCCCGAGCCCGGGATGGGAGGGTGAGAGACGCCGAGCAGGGGCTGGTGCCCACCGCCCCGCAGTTCCAGGGGAGCATCTCTGCCCAGGACCTTGTGCAGGAACCGCCCCGATGTGCCCAGAGGCAGCCTCTGGACGGGGGCTCCGTGTCTGCCCGGGACGGGGTTCGGGTCCTGGGGCCGGCTGGGGGGGCGGCGGGGGACACGGGGGCTGGGGGTGGCCCTACTCGTGGAAGCTGTGAATGGGGCCCAGGAGCACGTGGGGGTGCCTGGTCCCCAATCTCCCCTCCCCGAAGCCGCAGCCCGGAACGGGGCAGGGAACGGGGCAGGGAATGGGATCGGGACAGAGAATGGGACCCGGACAGGGAATGGGACCCGGACAGAGAATGGGACCGGGACAGAGATCGGAAACGGGACAGAGATTGGGACCGGGACCGAGACCGACACCGAGAGGCCCCTTTCCGCAGGTCGGACTCGGTCCCTGGACGCCGGGCCCCTCGGAAGGGGAGCAAGCTCCATGTGTCTGCGGCCTCCTCCCCGTTTGGGAACATCATTGACCTCTCCGTGGACCCGCCCAGGACTTGTGCCGTCGTCCCAGATGAAGAGATGGAGACTAAAGACCAGGCTGAGCTCCCCGGGACCCGCGCGGAGTCCGGGCCGCTCGAAGGCAGCGGTGCCTTCCGTGCCAAGTCTGTGTGGGGCTCCCTCGCCGCCCGGGACAGCCCTAAGGGCTGCCACCGGGACAGGAGGACCCAGAGGGTCTACGACGATGACCATGATGTCTGCAAGGAAAACCTGGTGGATGGCTTCTAGGCAGCGGAGCTGAACTGTTTGTGCCCCGCCTGCCCCGACACTGGTCTCTGTAAAGCACTGAGTTGGAAGCTCAAAAAAAAAAAAAAAAAAACAAATAAAAAAATAAATAAATCAAAGGGCCCATGGATCTTACTCTAAGCGCGGGAACTATGCAGCACTCAGATTCTGTGTTCTGGTCTGCAGTTTCTGATGGATGAGCAACTACACTATTGTCTTGAATTCCCAGGCCATCTTAGGTACTAAATTCTATTATTTTAGGTAGAATAAATAGAGCCCTGTAAAGTCTAGACTTGTTAGTCATAATGCTATGCACCTAGTAAATATAGGAGCAATGAATGAACAGATGAGGTATTTGTTGCTTATGAGGGTGGTTCTCCTGCTAAGATGCTCCATGACTTTAAATTCCATGATAGGATTTGGGTTTTGTGCTGGTAATTTGGGGGGAGGATTTAGGAATGCAGGGATTTGCTTTAGATTAGATGTTGTGAGACAGTGGGGGCAATTCCATGATTGGATATATAAATTCTAAGAAGTGGTAATTATTTGTTTTTAGATAAGAGAGGGGGGTATTTGGTATTTTCCGGTGGCTCAAGACAAAGTATGAAGTAGCTTTGCTCTCATTTTATTATGTGTTCAGAGTAATCTTGTCTGAGGTTGGTGGTCTTTGAGATTGTGCATGTCCAACTGGAAAATACCATGATTTTATGATTGTCAGGCTAGCTTTTGACTATCAGGGGCTGCTTTTGCCCACTCTCAGGTGCTAGTAGAGAATTTGGAAAAAAGTAAACGAATCCAAGAAAACATCCTGCATGCAATATCTACAAGACTGCATATGGAGGGGAGGGTGAGGGAGTGATGCCAGGGGTAATTTCTAGGTTTGTCTTTTTTTTTTTTATGGATAATTTATGAAATTTTATTTTTTTATTCTTTTCCATTTAAAAAATATATATTTTATTGATATTTTATAGAGAGGAAGGGAGAGAGATAGAGAACTAGAAATGTCGATGAGAGAAACATCGACTAGCTGCCTCTTGCACACTCCCTACCAGGGATGTGCCCGCAACCAACCTACATGCCCTTGACTGGAATCGAACCTGGGACCTTTCAGTCCACAGACCGATGCTCTACCACTGAGTCAAACTGGTTTTGGCAACTTTTTCCATTTTTTATTAAGGTATTATATGTGTACATATCTTTTCATTGCTCCCCCCACTCACATACCTGCTCCCCCCACCCCCCGAGTTTTTCATCCATTGGTTTTGCTTACCCCCGTTTTTTCTGGTGTATAAGACGACCCCTAATTTTACAGTTAAAACATAGGTTTAGGCCTATATTCGCTGTATAAGACTACCCCCCACTTCAAAGAAAAGACTTACTTTGCCGTCAAGATCTGCAGGTAATTTTTGTGCAATTTTGGTCTTTTGCTCCCAATTTTCGGTTGACTTTTTTTTTGTTTCAAAAGTCATCTTATACGCCGGAAAATATGGTATATGCATGCATATAAGTCCTTCGGTTGATTTCTTATCTCCCCCAGATCTCCCTCCCCTCCCCTCTGTAATTTGACAGTCTGCTTGTTGCTTTACTGTCTCTATATCTATCTTTTGGTTCATCAGTTTATAATGTTCTTTATTATCCATAAATGAATGAGGTCATGTAGTGTTTCTCTTTCATTGACTGGCTTATTTCACTCAGCATGATGTTCTCCAATTCCATCCAGGTTGCTGTAAATGATGAGAATTCTTTTTTTATAGCAGCATAGTATTCCATTGTGTAGATATGCCATAGTTTTTTTATCCAATCATCTGCTGACGGGCACCTAGGCTATTTCAAAATCTTAGCTATTGTAAATTGTGCTGCTATGAACATAGGGGTGCATATATCCTTTCTTATATTGGTGTTTCTAGTTTCTTAGGATATTCCTAGGAGTGTGATTACTGGGTCAAATGGGAGTTCCATTTTCAGTTTTTTAGGAAACTCCATACTGTTCTCCACAGAGGCTGCACCAGTCTACATTCACACCAGCAGTGCAAGAGTGTTCCTTTTTCTCCACAACCTCGCCAACCCTTGTTTGTTGATTTGTTGATGATAGCCATTCTGGCTGGTGTGAGATGGTACTGTATTATCGTTTTGATTTGCATCTCTCTAGGTTTCTTTGAGGATGGCAATGCTGTTCACTAAGATAGTACCAGCTTTGTTTTATCTTCCAATTTAATACTCAATATACAGATGCTCCTCAAGGTATAATGGGGCTACATTCTAATAAACCCATTGAAAGTTGAAAATACTATTATAAATCAGAAATGCATTTAGTACACTTAACCTATCACATATCATAGCTTAGCCTAACCTACCTTACATGTGCTCAGAATTATATTTATAAAATGCTGGCAACACAGTTCACTGCAGAGGATTGGTTGTTTAGCATCATGCTCGTGTGGCTAAGAGTTGCTCAGCTTCATGAGTGTCATAGTCCACATTGCTAGCCTGGGAAAAGGTGAAAATTCAGAATTTGAAGTATAGTTTCTACTGAATATGTATTAAGGGTAAAAAGCCCTAATTCAAACTGTCATCACTTGGGGGACTATCTGTATGTGAAAAGATAACATTATCATACCTATATTACAAATGCGAAATAAAGGTTTTATAGAGGTCCAACTGAACCAGAACTCAAATACAAGATGACTGGACTCCACAGTTATATAGATTTTTTTTTAAAATGTTGAGATAAAATATACATTTATGTGAGTTTTTACTATTTTAAAATATACAATTATGTGATTTTTAGCATAGTCACTGCTGTTGAATTCCTGACCATTTAAAAATCTTACCTAATAAGAGAAACATGCAAATTAACCATCACTCCACTACACCCACTGGTAATTAGAGTGAGTATACAAATTAACCCAACAAAGATGGAGGTTAATTTGCATATGCAGGCGCAGAGCTGAGTGAAGCCTGCTATGAGAAAGCTATTGGGATGGTGCTCCAGACAGAAGGGAGGATGTGCGGGCTCCCAGCAGCCTGGGAGCAGGGATATGCCGGCTGCCAGCCACCAGGCAGCCGGGGAGCAGAGACTTGCTGGGAGTGAAGCCAAGGGCCTATTCTTGCACGAATATTGTACAATGGGCCTCTAGTATGTACATATTTTTATTGATATCAGAGAAGAGGGGAGAGGGAGAAAGAGATAAAAACATCAATGATAAGAGAGAATCATGGGCCAGGACCGGTTTGGCTCAGTGGATAGAGCGACAGCCTGCGGACTGAAAGTTCCCAGGTTCAATTCCCGGCAAGGGCATGTACCTTGGTTGCGGGCACATCCCCAGTAGGGGGTGTGTAAGAGGCAGCTGATCGATGATTCTCTCTCATTGATGTTTCTAACTCTCTACCTCCTTCTTCCTCTCTGTGAAAAATCAATAAAATATATTTAAAAAAAAAAAAGAGAGAAAATCATGGATTGTCAGCCCCCCGCCCCCTTGGGGATGGAGCCCACAACCTGGGCATGTTCCCTGACTGGGAACTGATTCGTTGACCTCCTGGTTTATAGGATGACACTCAACCACTGAGTCATGCCAGCCAGGGTCGTCTTTTAACTTTCATACTATTGTCCTTGGATGCACAAAAATTTTTGATGAAGTTCGATTTTTGTTTTCTTCTTTGTTGCTTGTGCTTTTGGGGTCATTTAAGACTCATTCTGAAGTCATGAAGACTTCAACTTATATTTCCTTCTAAGGCTTTTATGGTTTTAGTTCTGACATTTAGGCATTTGATAAATATTGACTTAATGTTTGTGTATGGTACGTGGTAGAGGCCCACATTTATTCTTTTGCATACAGATATCTGGTTGTCTCAGCACCATTTGTTGAAAGGACTTTTCTCCCATTAAGTGGTCCTGGCATCCTTGTCAAAAATCACTTGAACATAGATGAACAGACTAATTTTTGGACTCTGAAGTCTATGTCATCATACTGATTTTTAAGTTTAACTTTATAAGTCACTTATAAGATTATTTTTAAAACATTTTATCTCCAAAGCTTCCAAAATTAGCTGTCATTTATTTAGTTGATTGAAATAAACCAGAATTAAATTTGCTGTGGAAAAATTACTAAAAATCAAGAAAATTGTTTTCTAGTAACATTATGACATGTTAGGTATGTTATAATTATATAGTTTATTAGGACTCATTTCTAAAGGTATAAATTTATGAGACATTAAGGAATCAATTTTAATATATCTGAAAAAAGTATAACAAAAATATTAGACACTATATAGCATAATATAAAATATGAATGAATACATGAAAAACTTATATACAATAAGAATAAAACAATACAATTGTGCATTTGATATTCCCTGCCCTCTCAAAAATTATTCTCTTACATAGTGAACATTTCTTTGAGAGAAGTATATACATATATACATGTAGAAAACCATGACTTGGTTGAATTGCTGAGGTTAAAGACCCATAACAGAAAATAGGTTTTTCTCTTGTCAATATTCAAGCCACTCCCTTCTAAGCATTCATTAATGTGTGAAGTTTTGGTTGTGGTTTCTAACTTTTTTAAAAGAATGTGTTTCTAGATTTGTTATTGGAAGCATCTGCTCATTTTGATTATTTTCATAATCCTCTTATTCAATTTAAGGTCCTTTATTATATAACTTAGAAAGCTGGCAGTTGGACATCCCCCAAGGGAGGCAGGAGAGGCTCCAGCTATTGCTGCTGCACTCACCAGCTGTGAGCTCAGCTTCTGGCTGAGCGGTGCTACCCCTGTGGGAGTGCACTGACCATGAGGGAGAAGCTCCTGCATTGAGCATCTGCCCCCTGGTGGTTAGTGCACATTATAGTGATCGGTTATTCCTCCATTGGTTGATTTACATAGTAGCCTTTTATTATCTAGGAGGGTAGCCTGAAGGTGACCATGACATTCCATACCAAGAAAACCTCTTATAAGCAAACATAAAAATATGCCTCAGTTAAAACATACAGTACGTGATTAAATATT